GCCAGAGAGAGAGACCAGAGAAAGAGGCCAGAGAGAGAGACCAGAGAAAGAGGCCAGAGAGAGAGAGAGAGAGAGAGACCAGAGAGAGATAGACCAGAGAGAGACCAGAGAGAGACCAGGACACAGTGAGGCGACTACAGCTGTAAAGCGCAAAACTGTGGTTGTGTCCTTAGGCAAGACACTTCACCCACATTAGAATGAGTCTGGTGTGTGTGTGTGTGTGTGTGTGTGTGTGTGTGTGTGTGTGTGTGTGTGTGTGTGTGTGTGTGTGTGTGGTTGGTGGAGGTGGGAGAGGCTGATGGCACAGACTGGTTGCCTTGCTTCTGTCAGTGTGCCCCAGGGCAGCTGTGTGTGTTTGGAGTGAATGAATGTGTAGCGTATAAAGTCAAACAGAGAACTATAAACTTTGCCTTAACTTGTTTCAAACCAGCTTTATTTCTCTGGACGTGTTGCTGAGAGTGGATTTCCACCAAATTGAAAACACAACTTGGCCTCTATTCTTCTAACGACTGAGGAAAAGTAAACTCTAAAACCTGTTTGTCCCAAAGCGATGCCGAAGCACAAAGCTGCTCGCTCGTGGTCCTGTTTGTTTCCCGGAGCCAAAGGGACGAGTTTTATAATCGCTCCATCTGTCAGCGCTAACGCCGGCATTCATCTTGTCTGTATTTTGTGCTTGTGTCCAGAGAAAGTGAACGCTTGAATGAGGAGGCTCTGTGCGGACGCTGCTCCCTCAGGGAAAAGTCACATCTTGTAGTCGCTGCTGATTCAGAAATTCTGGAATACATTTTTTATTTTATTTTATATATTCTGCCGTCAAACTGTGCTGCATTAGTATAGTAGAGTTTAATATAGTTAGTGAATACTGTTTTAAACTTAAAGTAGCAGTATGTAATATTTTCATGTCAGGTCATCATTAAATGGCCCAATATTTCAAAAGGCGTTAATAAATCATGCTCTTTACCAATACATCTTTAACTGATAACAGTAGTTCAGCCGAGATATTTGATTATCAAAATTAGTTTTACGACCTGTAAAAGTTGTAATTGTTGTCATTTTGGCGGCCTGCCCTCCGCCGCTTCGCCAATCAGGAAGTCCCATCGAAGTCCGTGATCGTGTTGCCAGAACTCCGCACGGCTCATTCATCTCACTGGTTAAATAACTTGTTACCGCAGAACTAAAGAAGGTCTTGTTATGACTCTCAAATAATTCATGACATAACAAAGACTAAAACAAGGATTTATATCGGGACGCCTTTGAAAAATTGAGACAGCTGATAAAACTTTTCGTGTGATGCAAAACTTGCGCTTTGAGCCCATTCTGCATCCAGTGGTTGAACTTGTGTCTGACGTCAGTGTGGTGGCTACGCCGTAGCGCTTGCACTCTGGCGGCTCGGGTTTGAGTCCGAACACTGCCCGTTCAATTTTAAAGCTGCACTAACTGACTTTGGGATTTTGAAGCCGCGGACTCGCCGGCCTCGCTCTTTCTGCTCCCCTCCCCGCACCCACGAAGCTATCGCCCCCACACACACACACTGTTGGGACGGAGCTAGTGTCTCCCAATATGGATAATACATGGATATGGATTTACGGATGGCGTGACCATAGAACGATAGAACCGGGAAGTGCGGAGGAACGAGACTTTCTTTTGGATGGCTGTCTCGCAGTGTAAGCAGTAACCGGTGACGAAGACACGGAAGCTTCAGGTTAGCTCCGCCGCCTGTTGTGCTAACTCAGCCGTCTATGCTAACGGACCTGTAGATTTCTCACAAAAGTGGGGGCCAGTGGTTCGCTGTGATTGGTCACAATCTGCGACCCGAAACACATTCTCTTCCTTGTTTCATCAAAACTCAATCTAAAATATAATGTCACACCAGTACAAATCTGCGCTAAGGACGTACTGTATATCACAATGCACTACATGGACATGGATAGCATTTTCATAATGAATTCAAAAATAAAGTCAGTTAGTGCAGCTTTAAGTTCACATATATTGACAAATTGCTAAACTAAGATCAAGATGTTTTTAGCAGATTAGCTTAATTGTAAAAATAATCCTTTGAGACCAATCATTTGAGACCACCCCAATTTAAATAATGTTTGTCTCGTTTTGATGTGGGACTAAAAAATAGGGAATAAATTAAAATCAAAGGGTGATATCCTCTGGAGGAAACCCTGATGAAATATGTTCCAACATCCATTCTTCCCACTCCTATTTTGGACTTCAATTGCTTATTTATTTTGCATAATCTATGTATAATTACATTGCTTTTAATTTTTTTTGTTTAAAATGCATTCAACATTAGCACGGCTCATGGCAATGTGAGAGAAAGACAAACAACTGATACAATAATTCCCTGTGTTTGCTGCTGGATTTGGTGTGTATCTGGCAACCTGAGTCAGGGAGAGTGGGAGTGGACTACACAACATTGACTGTGACTGCAGTACCACTTTTGGCCAGATTTTTACATATTGTTCCTTTAAGCTCCAAAAGATAAAGACAAAAAACAGGATTTAGTTTCAACCTAAAAACCAGTTTTTAGTACTTTGAAACTGGTTTTTAAATGCTTGAACAGTCATGTGTCGGCGTCAGGGCTCCACCAGAGCCGCGGTCAGTGGGGACTGTGTTCTCCCACAATTCACCAAATCCTTTGGTCAGTCAAGTTTCTCCTTTAATGGATCCAAACTGTGGAACTCTCTGCCCAGTGATTTAAAACTGCAGACTGACATGAACAGTTTTTATAGAGGTCTAAAACAGTGGCTAAAGTCAAATCAAAGCTGCACACATGTATGAAATGAAATCGCCATTGATAATATGTATTACTTACCTTTTTAAATAATGTATTGTGTACTGTATTGCATTGTTTTTTGTTTTTTGTATTGTGTTGTGTTTTGTGTAGGGGCTCTCCTAGCCTTTTATGGACAGGTGTTATTAGCAGTCTTGCTATAACACTAAAAACAATGTATCTGGTTTGTCCAATGCTATTGTTATGTCCATACCAAATAAATAAATAAATAAAAATAAATAAACCCTGCTTTAGTCCTGCTTTAGTCCTGCTTTAGCCCTGCTTTAGTCCTGCTTTAGCCCTGCTTTAGTTCTGCTTTAGCCCTGCTTTAGTCCTGCTTTAGCCCTGCTTTAGCCTTGCTTTAGCCCTGCTTTAGCCCTGCTTTAGCCCTGCTTTAGCCCTGCTTTAGTCCTGCTTTAGTCCTGCTTTAGCCCTGCTTTAGTTCTGCTTTTGCCCTGGTTTAGTCCTGGTTTAGTTCTGCTTTAGTCCTGCTTTAGTTCTGCTTTAGTCCTGCTTTAGTCCTGCTTTAGTTCTGCTTTAGCCCTGCTTTAGTCCTGCTTTAGTTCTGCTTTAGTCCTGCTTTAGTCCTGCTTTAATCCTGCTTTAGTCCTGCTTTAGTCCTGCTTTAGTCCTGCCTTAGTCCTGCTTTAGTCCTGCTTTAGTCCTGCTTTAGTCCTGCTTTAGTTCTGCTTTAGTCCTGCTTTAGTCCTGCTTTAGACCTGCTTTAGACCTGCTTTAGTCCTGCTTTAGACCTGCTTTAGACCTGCTTTAGTCCTGCTTTAGTCCTGCTTTAGACCTGCTTTAGTCCTGCTTTAGTCCTGCTTTAGTCCTGCTTTAGTCCTGCTTTAGCCCTGGTTTAGTTCTGCTTTAGTCCTGCTTTAGTTCTGCTTTAGTCCTGCTTTAGTCCTGCTTTAGTTCTGCTTTAGCCCTGCTTTAGTCCTGCTTTAGTTCTGCTTTAGTCCTGCTTTAGTCCTGCTTTAGTCCTGCCTTAGTCCTGCTTTAGTCCTGCTTTAGTCCTGCTTTAGTCCTGCTTTAGTCCTGCTTTAGTCCTGCTTTAGTCCTGCTTTAGACCTGCTTTAGTCCTGCTTTAGACCTGCTTTAGACCTGCTTTAGTCCTGCTTTAGTCCTGCTTTAGACCTGCTTTAGTCCTGCTTTAGTCCTGCTTTAGTCCTGCTTTAGTCCTGCTTTAGTCCTGCTTTTGTCTACAAATGTATATAATATCATGTTGTGTGTGAGTATTTACTGGGATCATGGAGAATAGATTCTGTGCATGGAGCAGGAGATCATAAACGTTTCAACACGCTTCACTATTTACTCCCAGAAAACCAGGCATCTGTCGTGATTTACCATCTCTGACAGACAGATGGCGCTGTTGTAAACTAGAGAGACAGAGAGAGACCAGAGAGCATGGATCTATTATAATAACTGGATAGGGTATTACAGCTTGTAGCTGAATAACTCATGTGCTCGGGGGATTCTCGCGGTACTGCAGACTGAACCAGACTAAATTCACGTGGGCTACCCAGAAATTTTACCCATAGAACTCAATGTAAACTAAAACTGCTCGACCTCAGCTGACAGAGAACCTGACAGAGAACCTACAGCTTTCATAAAGGTCGGATTTTGTGGGGATTTTAGTGTCCCTTGTCATTCTGAACTTTTTTTCTTCTTAAATCCTTCGGTTTTCTTTAAATCCACACATGCGTATTTGGCGTAGAACCGGGAGGACCAGACGATGCCCAAATATAGTGAGTGAAATGGCGAGTTCCGGTAACATGTCAGCGACTGAGCACAGACCATTCATTTGAATACGGCGCCATCTTGGATCACCGAGGCTTGCTGAGGAGAGACCAGAGATTCCGCAAAGAGAGACCAGAGAGAGTGAGACCAGAGAGAGAGACCAGAGAGAGAGACCAGAGAGAGAGACCAGAGAGAGAGACCAGAGATACTGCAGAGAGAGAGAGACCAGAGAGAGAGACCAGAGGTACTGCAGAGAGAGACCAGAGAGAGAGACCACCGAGAGAGACCACCGAGAGACCAGAGAAAGACCAGAGATACTGCAGAGAGAGACCAGAGAGAGAGAGAGAGAGACCAGAGAGAGACCATAAAGAGACCAGAGAAAAACCAGAGAGATATGTTTTGCTCAGTAAGTACCCTGCGTGGCCTTATCCCTCTCTCACAGACAGATGGCGCTGTTGTAAAGCCCTTGAAGCAGCAGATGTCTCTCCCTGTTCAAACATTCTCCTCTCTCCCTCTCTCCTCCCTCCTCCCTCTCTCCTTCTCTCCCTCTCTCCTTCTCTCCCCCTCTCCTTCCTCTTTCCCTCCTTCTTCCTCCCTCTGTCCCTCTCTCCCTCTCTCCTCCCTCTCTCCCTCTCTCCTCCCTCTCTCCTCCTTCTCTCCCTCTCTCCCTCTCTCCCTCTCTCCTTCCTCTTTCCCTCCTTCTTCCTCCCTCATCCTTCTGCTCCAGCATCCGTCTGTCCACGGAGGATCCGGACTCCTGCCAGCAGCCATTAGCGGTCACATCTCAGTCCAAGAACAGCGCCTTGGCTCCGCTGCAGCTCGCACGCACACCGAGGCCTTCCAAAAAACAGGGTTGACAAATAATTGATACACAAACTAATCAATTCTTAAACCGTTAAACTGAAGTCATTTGAATAAAACAGAGACAGAAATTGTGAAACCCAATCGGATCAGAGCTAGTTTAGGACCATAAGACTGGCTTCTGTTTCATAGTTCTGCTTTATATTCTAAACCCGGTTTTTAGACTGGTCCTACTTGCATGCAAAAGCCAGATCCCGACAGACCTCTGAAGCTGTGCATGGCAGAGCCTGGTTAGTGTTGTGATGGGAGACCACATTAGAAAGAGTCTCAGAATTAGTCGCCTCACTTCTGTCAGTGTGCCCCAAGGCAGCTGTGGCTACATTAGTAGTTTATCACCACCGTGGATGGAGTGAGAGAATAACAACATGTGCAGGACTTAAGCAGGACTAAAGCAGGTCAGGACTAACACAGGACTAAAGCAGGACTAAAGCATGTCAGGACTAAAAGGACTAAAACAGCAGGTCTAATGCAGGTTTAAAGCAGGACTAAAGCAGGTCTAGCCTGGTCGTACCACACCATAGTACAAATTACATTTCGTACTAAGGTCTGGAGGTGCTCCGCTGAGCTCCGTGAACAGGTGGGAGGGGCTAACTCATTTTGCAGATTGAAACCATAGGATCTGAGTTTACTGTGACGTATGTAATGCGCACAAGTCTGTTATTAGCATTTAGCATTTAGCCTAGCTTTAGCCATCTCCTTTGGTGCTAACGGAGCCCGTGGGGAGTAGCGCCACAATCTTTGCCAGCGATTACATTTGCTAAACATTCCTCTTGCTCCGGCTTCAATTTCTTGATAGAATCTGTCCAGATTACTTTACTATCTCATTCTTCACCATTTCCAAACTACAACCCTCCCAAACTCTTGACGTCACCCACATCTAACTACAACACTCTCCTTCCGCGCTCTCTGATTGGTCAGATGGAATTCGACCGATTGTAATCACAATCACAGGGACCAGACCCAGACGTTACCTGCAGGAAGTGCAGTGTACTGATTGAGCGTACGGATGGATAAGGCCAGGCTAAAACAGGTCTAAAGCAGGACTAAAGCATGTCAGGACTAACACAGGACTAACACAGGACTAAAGCAGGACTAAAGCAGGACTAAAGCATGTCAGAACTAACACAGGACTAAAGCAGGACTAAAGCATGTCAGGACTAACACAGGACTAAAGCAGGACTAAAGCATGTCAGGACTAACACAGGACTAAAGCAGGACTAAAGCATGTCAGAACTAACACAGGACTAAAGCAGGACTAAAGCATGTCAGAACTAACACAGGACTAAAGCAGGACTAAAGCATGTCAGGACTAACACAGGACTAAAGCAGGACTAAAGCATGTCAGGACTAACACAGGACTAACACAGGACTAAAGCAGGACTAAAGCAGGACTAAAGCATGTCAGAACTAACACAGGACTAAAGCAGGACTAAAGCATGTCAGGACTAACACAGGACTAAAGCAGGACTAAAGCATGTCAGGACTAACACAGGACTAAAGCAGGACTAAAGCATGTCAGAACTAACACAGGACTAAAGCAGGACTAAAGCATGTCAGAACTAACACAGGACTAAAGCAGGACTAAAGCATGTCAGGACTAACACAGGACTAAAGCAGGACTAAAACAGGATTGGACCTAAATCCTGTTTCTTGTTTTTATCTTTTTAAGTTTAAAAAAGGGATTAACTATACTCTACTGTACTGTACTATGCCGTGTCCTGTTAGTCAGCACTTTGGGATGAGTTCACAGATGAGACACAAAAGAGAAAGATGTCTTTTTTACCATACTATACATTTCTGTTTTACTTCCACAGCACCATTCCTCTCTATTTTAGAATTCACCAGACAATCCTTTCCTCCACATGTTTTCTTTGTCGTATTGTCATGGAGACAGACTTTTGGCACCAGCTCCTGATGTCTCGCCACATGGTTCTCCACTGGGGTCGTCCTCCAAGCAGTCGCCATATTGTTCCTGTCTCACACTGTAGCTGCCCGGGCTGGAGAACATTATATCTTGGTGTAGTCCGGGTCACGTGGTGAAATGATGGAGGACTCAAATGCAGGAATGCAAAAACATAATGATTTAATAAAATAAAGTCCATGGTGAAAAAAACTCAAAATCCAAAATACTTAACCAGGAACAGAACGACAATACAATGTTTGAAGTCTTTCAATCAGGATTCAGAGCTCATCATAGCACTGAAACGGCACTAGTCAAAGTCACAAATGACTTACTACTAGCTGCCGATAATGGACAAGTGTCAGTGCTGGTCCTACTGGACCTTAGTGCTGCATTTGACACAATAGACCACAGCATTCTACTGCAGAGGCTAGAATGTGATATAGGTCTTAGAGGAACAGCCCTTGGCTGGTTTAAATCCTATTTATCAGATCGATATCACTTCGTCAATGTGAATCAGGACTCGTCGCCTTATTCTGGAGTGGAATTCGGTGTGCCGCAGGGTTCGGTACTCGGACCGATTCTTTTTACTCTCTACATGCTGCCACTGGGAAACACTATTAAAAAGCATGGAATTAATTTCCACTGCTATGCAGATGACACACAGCTTTATCTGTCGATGAAGCCTAATCAGACAGATCAGCTAGAAAAGCTCAGTGCCTGCATAAAGGACCTTAAAATGTGGATGACTCTTAACTTCCTACTTCTCAACCCGGAGAAGACAGAAGTGATCCTACTCGGTCCGAAGCGCCTGCGTGACTCCCTCACTAACCAGATGGTTACTCTCGATAATGTCAGTATAATACCCAGTAACACTGTGAGGAATCTTGGAGTCATTTTTGACCAAGAACTCTCCTTCAAGGCTTATATAAGCCAAGCAACTAAAACGGCGTACTTCCACTTACGGAACATCGCTAAAATTAGGAATTTCCTTCCTAAAAGTGACGCGGAAAAACTCATTCACGCGTTTGTCACCTCAAGGCTCGACTACTGTAACGCTTTACTGGCAGCGTGCCCTAAAGCCTCTTTGAAGAGCTTCCAGCTTGTTCAGACTACAGCAGCTAGGATCTTAACAGGTACCAAAAGGAGGGAGCACATAACTCCGGTGTTAAAATCACTCCACTGGCTCCCTGTGGAGTACAGAATAAAGTTTAAAATCCTTCTCTTAACATATAAAGCCATAAATGGCTTGGCTCCTTCTTATCTCCAAGACACGTTAGTGTCGTATCAACCAAGTCGAGCGTTGCGCTCACAAAACGCCAGACGTCTGGTGGTCCCTAAGGTCTCAAAGGTCACTGTTGGTGGCAGAGCATTTAGCTACCAAGCTCCTTTACTGTGGAATCAGCTTCCCATTTATGTTAAGGAAGCAGATACGGTCTCCACATTCAAGGCCAGGCTTAAAGCACTTTACTTTAATTTAGCATATAATTAGGTAATATATAATATGTAGTGTATATATTATATATATATGCTGTATTATGTTATATATTATGTTATATATTATTCAATAATGTATTGTGTTATGTTGTATATTATGTTATATATTTATGCTGTATGTTATTCTTTATTCAAGGCTAGGTTTAAAACAGTCCTCTTTAGTTTAGCATATGGCTAGGAAGGTAAGACTCGGAGAAGGTTAAACTCCTCAGAGTGTTAGTCAAGCTGCATAGGGAGTCAGTTTGCTGGGAGAAGTATGGTAACTTGAGCACTATCCTCTCCTCCTTCCTACTTTATCTGTTTAGCATTTTTAGGATTCTGACTGTAGTTTGTTCATTGCTATTCACCCGTTGTCCCATTGTCTGTTTCATGGTACGATGACGGGATCTCTGAGCCTGGCCTCCTCCATCTACACCTGCGGACTGCCCCGCCCGACCCGCCTGGGAGTGCTTCAGTCCTGCACCGGACCTGTCCACGTTCAGCGTCCACTGGTCCACGTTCTGTAGCTAGCTTAGGTCCTAGATCATTAGTCTGTCCGTCCGGAGGAGCGGATCCCTTTCTCATATGGGTCTCCCTCCCTGTGGGTTTCCCTAGTTCTCCTCCAAGGTTTCTCACTTTTTCCCACTGGGTTTTTTAAGAGTTTTTCCTTGTCGATGCAGGAGGGTCTTGTTGGACAGTTAGTGTCCAACAGAAAGGATTGGTGATGATCAGGACACTTTAGCATTCTACAACATGTATGGACATTTTCTTCTGTGTGTGCTTTATATTCTTCATGTGTTTTAACTGTTGATTCTCTGACCTGTGTTGGTGATTTCAATGGTTTTGTTAAGTCCTCTGAGATGACTTCTGTTGTGACCTAGGGCTATACAAGAATAAATTGTATTGTATTGTGTATTGTATTGTACCAGCAACAAGGAGAGGAGCACAGGGTACATATAGACAGAGAGACACAGGTGAAACACATCAGGGCGGGGCAGACAATCAACACAGGGGAAAACAGGACAAAGTCAAACTAAAACCAAACCACAGAGAACAGAATAAAACCCACACCGTGACAGTCCAGGTTTAGTCCTGGTTTAGAACTGCTGTTACCCTAACCCTTAGTCCTGCTCTAGTCCTGCTCTAGTCCTGCTTTAGTCCTGCTTTAGTCCTGGTTTAGTCCTGCTTTAGTCCTGCCTTAGTCCCTGCCTTTGTCCAGCTTTAGTCCTGCTTTAGTCCTGCTTTAGTCCCTGCCTATGTCCAGCTTTAGTCCTGCTTTAGTCCCTGCCTCTGTCCAGTTTTAGTCCGTCCTGCTGTAGTCCTGCTGTAGTCCTGCTTTAGTCCTGCTTTAGTCCTGCTTTAGACCTGCTTTAGTCCTTTTTTCGTCTCTGCTTTAGACCTGGTTTAGTCCTGCTTTAGACCTGCATTAGTCCAGCTTTAGTCCAGTTTTAGTCCTGCTTTAGACTTGCTTTAGTTCTGCTTTAGCCCTGCTTTTGACCTGCTCTAGACCTGCTTTAGACCTGGTTTAGTCTTGGTTTGACCTGCTTTAGACCTGCTTTAGACCTATCACAGTCCTGCTTTAGACCTGGTTTAGTCTTGGTTTGACCTGCTTTAGACCTGCTTTAGACCTA